TGTTTTTGTGCACCTTTCGTTACGATTAAAAAATTAACCGTAACTTTGGAATGATTTATCGTTAATAAAAGAAATATTTCTCTTTTTTATTAATCTCTAGCCTATTTTATTTTATTGACTCTAATCATATGTCTTACAGACATCATCTATGTGTATGTATAAATAAAAGATTCAGCTCTTTTATCTGCTCTGACTTTATTTCGCAATGATAACGAATTGCAGATGTGTATTTGATGTTTGTTTCTAAAAGTTAACCGATTGCATAGTAATTGCATAGTAATATAGATAATAGCTATTTATTACATTTTTCAGATTATCTTCCCTCTCACGGGTACACCTTGACGTGGTGAGAGGGCTCAGTACCCAGAGGATATTTACACGAAAAGAATGGTTTTTCTCAAGTATCTAAAAATTTTCGGATATGTCTGAATATATATCTAGATAAATTTTTAGATATTGAGTAAAATCATTCTCTTCGTGTAAAAATCCAATGGGGAAGCTAACGTACCCTCGTCGCCGATTTATTAGAAAATGAACGAACCGCAGCCGGTTCGTCGCGCCGCGCGTTTCGGGAGTGCCGTTCAAGTTATCGGACTCAAGTTATAGTCCGCGCGCGATTACAGTGTATTCGCGAGTGTTTTACGCGAGTGTCCTGTGCATATTCTGAGAGGAGGTGGAGGTCTGGGAGAGACATCGAGCACCGGTGGAGCAACTTGGCGGTAAATATTATTTTTTATTTATGTAAAATTAACCTTTTTTCACTTGTTTTTAAATCATTTTCTTTGACAATGATTAAAAAATGATTATTTTTAAATCATTGTTAAATGAAATGTTTTAAATAATTCTATATTCTATAAAATAATTATATAAAATAATTCTTTTTTTCTTTAGAGAATACCATGTTATATACAGAGGAAAGTCACCGATACCGACATAGGTCTCCTAAAGTGATACCCTCTTATTTCTCAGAAACTTAACTATTGCACTTTATTAATACTAATACAGTCATGATCTGTTTAGCTAATTAAAGAAGTACAAACTCATACGAAATAATTCGTATATTTGTGGCTTATATAGTATTTCTATATCAAATCAAAACAAATTCTATGATTGTAAAAAGAAAATTCTTACGATTTTTCTTTTGTAAATTGCGTAGTTTAAAAAAATAACAGTGATTATATTATTGATAATATTACATTATTCTAATATGCTTGTAGTTTCCTAAATCAATTTTATTTATATTATTTTTTTTCTTAGTTTTTTCATAATATGATTTTAAATATAAAATTGAGATGCAGTGTACACTGTCACATCTGTCTGTAAAACAGATCATGAGTTAACTTAATCTTTATAATGTTACCTCATAATGTCAAATAGCTCTATTGGAGCTGAAGACAATCATCTATATATAGAATAACTCTTGAAAAATTATCGCGTAACATATTTGTATCTTGCAAAACAGGATAAATACTTCAATAAAAATATTTTATAAGGAAGAGAGTGAAGAGATTCTATATATCTCTTAATATCTTATATACATTCACTTGTAGGTACTCTGTACAGATAATTCCTGTAAAAGAAAAGGAATAGGAATACATAACACTGTTGCCTATTGTGTCAGTTTTGGAGCCCATTTTCAGACACTTACCTTATGAAAAAATTAATTATTGCTAAACTGCAAACAATATTATAAAAACTGCTTATACTATCCGATGGAAGACATTTTTTAGTTTGTACTTATATTTTTAAAAAACTTATATTTTATTTTTACCTTTTGCTTAAGAAATATTGTCTAAGAACAAAGTGATATTTCGATATCGATGATTTTCTTCTAATTATTTTAGAAAATACAATACGTATAATTATTTTAGAGAATATATAATTGTTTTATAACTAATTAAATAATGGGTACAAAATTCGATGCTTACAAAAATTATATTTTTAAAACTGCATAATTATTTTTCAGCAAACTGCATGCGTTTATATAGCAGTTATTTTTTAAAGATTATTTCTTTACTCTGTTTTAATTTAAATTTTAATTTATTTGTTACAGAATCATCGTTGCGATGTTGCAGATATAACTCCACTGTTGCGCATCAGATTGGTGAGTGGGAATTTTTTCGAATTAAGGAAATAGTCATTTTATTGAATTTCAACATGTTATTTATTGCAAGCGAGTTTGAGAAATGTAATTATCGTAATGATTTCGTAGTACATTTGTATGGGATAATATTATCAGATTAACAACGATCTATCGTTGTCGCTTAAAGGTGACACGCGAATGTATATGTGTAATTATTATGTTGCCTTCACATCACATAAAATTATATATGATAATATGTACACAGCGAGAACGTTAAATATTATTGTCTTTAGCTATAGTGATAGCGTACGAATTAATGGAACGTTTCTTCTTGTAAAAAATGGATATCCAGAGCACCATATTTCGATTAATTTGTTATGTACAACAGCTGCGCTTTATCCATGGCGGGGGGTGGGGAGCTAGGGGGAGGGAAGTATTGGGATGACAGTCGATGACACATCACCACCGCATGATATTTTGCTGCTCACAAATATATTATAACGGTGGCTGCTACTTTCGATTAACGGCAAGATTGCAGTACCCGCCGCAGCCGATTCGCGAACGTTGAGAAACAAACGAGGAACAGAAACTGACTATTACGTCGCAAAATTTTATGCCTTGTACTCAGTCTTTCTCATGCACAATCATTATCATTGCGGTCCTCTGAGTCCCGGCTTGTGACACGCTTATCTCTGGCGCCGTATCCCCAATCAGCACACAATATTAAAAAATATTTTTTTAATATTGTTTGCTGATCGAGGCTGTCTGTGATCCGAATTATATGTCATCCGAGATGAAACACATTTGCGTTGCGAACGGGCCCGAGCGTCGCAAAAAGAATTTGCATTTATAATATACGAAACAAAATTGAACATTTTCTTTTTTTGAATTGTGATCCTTTTCGTAAAAATGCAGTTCAAATGGATTCCGTCTCGAGATCTATGGGTCCTCAGTAAGTGTCTCATTACCGAGCCCAAAGATTCTCGGAGGTCCATTTTTCAGCGTAATTTTGCTTATTGTCTCTTCTCCGCCCTCGGTAACGATGAGCGGGGAGGAAGTATTAGTCGATATAAAAAAACACGTGATTTACAAACAGGGACGTAAAACAGGACAGAAAAAAAAGAACAAATTGAGAATTTGTCAAAGTGACTGTGGCATAAAATTTCTCGCTGGACCACCACTGGAGGCTCGAATACAATACGCAATTCCGCGATCTTTCGAGAGTCCCTAGTGAGATCGTATAGAGTAAATAAGATCACAAGCGTCATAGAGGCCCACAAGGACCCCCGGGGATTAGAACAATACGTAAAAATAGTATTCGTTATTTATATGTGTGTATATATGTATGTATGTACGTGCCCAAGAATCAAGCTGACGACGAATAAAAACAAATAAGTCAGGAATGTGTTTAGAAATTTCACTTGAATGCATCCATGTATCGTTTCATTTTTATTTCAGTGAATAATGAGGATGAAATGATAGATAGATACTTCGATGAAATTTCTAAACGCAGCTCAGCTTATTTCTTGGATGTATATATAAATGTATGAGTGTCAGAGAGTGAACATATGCACTTATAATATATTTATTACTATATACACACGTACGTAAAATGTCGCTTTGCTTGTATCGCTCAGTTATTTAGACCGCGCAGTTGCTTAGATAGAATGTGAATTCCTCTTATTCTTATATCACATGTATATAAGAAGGCACAACGAATAATTCTAGCTCGAGAATCTATCGATTCGTGTTACGACCAAAGAATTAACGTAACTATATGTAGGTAATGTACATTCTCGAATCATCAGCAGTATTGCTCTGCGCCTCTTTAACAGAGAGCCTACTAAGCATGTGAGAAATTATTAGCATCTTTGAGCGTCCATTAGTTGCGTACATGCGGGCGAATATCGCATCGGATTTATACTGCACGGCGTTATCAACGCATTTCTAAATACAACTCGCGTATGAAAATACATACACACATACATATATCCATAGAATATAGATATATTTAGAAAATATATTAAAATTTTGATTTCAATAATTTTCAAATACGTTCCACGCAAATTAATTATTAGCGTCGATCGGTACACGAAAATAATACATACATATATATATATATATATGATTTACATATATATGTATCACTAGCCGTATTATTTCTTATACAACATTAACGTTCTTAATCGATCATTTTTATTTTTCGTTTACGTACGTTCTGGCTTTATTCGGGACTGCACATTGTTCTTGATACTTATATTTACAAATGCATTTCTGTAATTGTTGACATTCTAGCGCATAATTTTAAATTTTTTTAAAAAGAAATTTAAGAAACCTTTGTCTCTCTTATATCGTAGCGCTTCCTAAATTTTTCCCAACATACCATGCAATGTATAAGCGATATATTGTTTTCTCTCTGTGGATTATCGGGGGAACACGACAAAATTGATGCAAGTTTAATAAAGACTACTTAAGATTTTAACAAAGGTTCTTAAGATTTTAAGATCACAATTGGTGGATCGTGAGGACATCAATTTTAATCTGTTTTTATTTTACATGCAAAGAAAATTTTATTCATTAAATTTCTATATTACTTCGATTCATTATTATTGTACACATGCTTTAAATTACTCAATGTTTTTTTAGCATTAAAAATTTTTTATACGGAATGTGGTTCTTTTATCTGAATTCGATGTTTTTAAAAATGTTCAATTAATTACAGAGAATTCTTAAAGTAATTAAAAAAAATTATTTTTAACAATTGCCAGCAAATAAAAAATAATTAATAAAAAATAATATTTAAGTAAACATAATTTTTATATTATTTTATAAATAATATGTATATGTATAAACAATATAATTTGAAATTAATTAATTTAAGATAAAAGATATACATATTTCTTTCTATTTTGTTTCTCTTTTGTGTGTTCCCTTAACTTTTCACCTCTATTAACATCTTATATATATTTTTAGAGTCAGCTTAACTCATTATGCGGAACACCATTGTTCACGCCTGGAAATGCGCGGTTATTTAAGAATTTCATAATAACTTAGCATGTAAGTCCCTCATATTACGACTAGTCAATTGCCTCTTTCAACGCAGCTAATTGCTCCTCGCCAAGCTTCACCTTGTCCTGTATTTCGCGACCGTCCACTATCAGCTTCGCCTTCATGTTGATGAAATGCTGGTAGTCAGCAAATTCTTCTTCATTCAGGTACTTTGCTAGGATCGTCGACATATTTACGCTACGTTTATCGATATTGTTCTTTAGAATCTTTGCTTCTTCTAATTGATCCATCAGCTTGTCCCGTTTGCTCTCCAAAATTTTCTGCAGAATAACAAAATTAATGTAAATAAAAATTTATAATTATACATATATGTTGTTGCAAAAAACACAATGCTTGAAAATTTGCAATATATAAAAAATTAAAATAGGTACTCTCTAAAACTTTTAGAACGAATTGTCACTTCGAAGAGTAAAACATCTCACTTTTAAAAGTTGAAAATTGAGTCATTCTTTTTCAACTAATTTAATTTTCATTCTTTAGAGTGAGATTCCACTCCAAAGAATTTAGGGAATATACATATCAATAATGAATAGATAAGCAATTTGAACCACTCTATTAAATATCAAAATAAAAATCGTTATTGCTTGTAATTACACATTTATTTTTATATAATTTTATACGCGATAATTCGATTCGATGTATTACATGATCTATTATCAGACATTTATACTGGATAACGATGTATCGTAATTATATCCCACGTATATTAATTAATTTTAATTGACGACTGAAGAGCGTTTGCAAGAAAACAAGAAGTTTCATACTTACTCTCTCTACATGGTCGGCCGGCATTCCATAAAGGGCGTTCTCAGCGCGAGCCAACCTGCCACTGAGACCGAGAAGAAGACTCGTAATCTTGCCAACTTCCTCTACGTGATTCCGATACTTGGACGCTTCCGGCGGGCGAGCCACAGCGGAAACGCGAGCGGCGACTCGTGCACCCAGAGTCTCATTCACCTCACCTTCCTCTCTTACGGCCTCCTGTTCAGCCCTGAGAACCACTAACTTCCTGTCGAGGCGCATCATCAGCTCCTCCTGAAAAAAATCATCCATAGTTCTAGAATAACACGCATAGGTCAATACTATGGGAATGCTGATACTTTTTGCTACGACATTCGACAGACCAAGAAAACACGAAGATGTCTAATAGACGTAATAATTTGCTATGCGAACAACTAGTTAGGTAACAGTCCAGACTTAAAGATATATGATAAGTAGAAATTCCAAAGTGCAGCAATTACATTTTACATAAGACCAGATTGTACTCGGCTAGATGAAACGATATTTATTATCGTCTTATCTCCGCATAGTCATTTATTATCTCTTCGCTTAGGAGCTCCACGATCACATTTACCGATCAAATTTAGTCGCAAGAGTAAATATATATAGAGTTAATTATAGTACATCCTACAAGCGTTTAATTATGCTCCGGTTTGTGAAATACCTTTTTCTGCCTAAGGTCAAGGCTATTCGTTGGTACAACCGCTGACGCATCCTCTTGATGTGTTAATCCCTCCGCAGTGACGTCTCGCGAGTATCTCGTCAGGAACCTCGCCTTTCCCTCGGATGTCGTGAAATAAGCTGAAGTGAGGGATAGAGGGCTAGTAGTAGAATCGGTCGACAGTGGCGTGACGGGAGCTGAAGGTATCGTTTCGTGTCTGAAATGAATTTATTATGATGATTACATCTCCGGTTGGTTAATACGGACTAAATCGAACCGTACTCCTCTCTGTCGCTCTCGCGATATTTATGCAGAGATATTCCTATAATTGTCATCATTGCGAGATGGCAAGAAATTGCGTCAATGAACGTGAGTCACGATTGAATTAATCCATGTTTCCGAGGCGAGGCAAGGGAAACAGAATGATTTGTGAGTGGATGCAGAGGAATGTTTTGCAGCGTAGAATTCGCGATTTATTTTCGTAATCAACTTCAATGATGAACAATAAAGTCATATACATGATATTGAATAGATTTTCGAATTTATAGATGAGAAATGCTCAACGAGATGTTAGTTCATAATCTGTAATCCATAATCCGGCCGCGATTATTAGCAGTTAAATGACACATGTATGATTTTGTATGCTAGATGAATTTTTATGGAAGAGGAGAAAGTGATAAAGAAAGGAAAGCGAGTTGTATCGAATTGTATATTATTAAAAAAAAAAAGTTATTCAATTGTGTGATTTGCTAGAAGTTACTTTCGAGATCAGTTAAAACGAAATGCCATGACTAAGAAGCGGAAGTGAATTCCAATGTAATTATCTCTTCAATCATTATTTACATGTGTATATCAGGTACGTTCGAAATTGTCGCGATTTTATTGCTATCTAAAATTGCTTTCGAAAGTGTCGATTTTTCTTTCTTTCTTTAAAATATGATAGAAAGTTCGGCTAAAACTAATTTAACGTAATACGTCGGTTTCTCCCTCATGATTTTTGGCCGACTCTTAAACAATTTTACTTGAGCACACTTCGTGTTCATATGAAATTTTAATTTACAAGTTGTTATGAAGCCCATTTTCGATGACACTTAGCGCGCCTACCACTTTAATGTTCAAATATAATAAAAACAAAAGTTATATCTACTTTTCTGGAGGACCCATTTCCATTTCCCGTATTACTTGTCGTAAGCACGCCGAACACTCTGCTAGTCGATGCGTTACTTTCAGCCATATGTTGGAGACTGGCAAATAATATGATGCGTAGAGAACAGGCACTGAATAGTACTTGACAATATCATTTATGGCGGATTACATAAGAACCTCGATGCTGTGGCACTTTCTCTTTGAGTACGGAAGAAGTATTGTCCGTGAGTGCGCAAGAAAGATCGGATCGACGAAAAAGGGAAGAGCCGCAACATCATAAAAATAAATAACAATAGACGGTAACCGTGAAATGCACTGGATGCGATAATATGAATATATTGTCAAACTTAAGAATATCTAGAAATACTGAATATAAAAAAAACGTTTCAATATACTGTATATATACGATTGTGCGTAAGACATCTCAGATGACAAGGAAGAAAAAAAAACGGAAATAAGAATGTTAAAGGTAATGTTACAAAATAAAGAAGAAATCCATCTGCACTTGTTTGTTTGTACAAGAATTTGTTTGTACATTCCCATCTGTTGCTGCTAACGATTTGTTAAATTCAGACGCTTATCGTTCAAAAACAGCAATTATTAGATTCATGATAATGAAAGTTCATTAGTGACGTCTGTCAGAAATTTTGTCATCTATGCATCCCACATAAACGTCGTTCATCAGATAATAAAGAGTCTCTTCACGCGTCTGGCTAAATGAGATATTTTCGGATGCCGCTTTCTTTTCACACGAAATATCGTGTGAATAGCATAAACATATGTCTGGCGTCCTTCCAAAAAGATCGACGCAGGTTTATTTTATCTGCAGTAACGACCACACAGAGCGCGAATGTGTACTCGAAGAAATTTAAATGACAGTCGACAAAATTGAGCAAAAAGAACTTCTTCACTTGTTTATTAAAATTATACGGTTCTTCCTAGACGTACGCGTCGACCAATTAAGTCAAGTAAAGAGAATCGCGAATTTTTTTGCACTTGTAATGAACGCCTTCGGATTCCAAGACATTCGAGTTGATTAATAGCACGTAATCCAATGCTCGCGAGCACGTGAAAACTATCAATTATCGCATTTGGTCTATATTTACGTTGTCTTATCTGCCTTGCTTGTGAACAACAATCTTGCTGACCCTTGCGATGCAGTTGGATGAAGACAACACGCATGATATCGGCGTGGCATGAGCCGCTTTATAAATACGCCTTAATTAAGTGAACTTCAGTCGAAAAAAAAATGAAGAAGAAGAAAAGAGAATAAGAGGAGCTCACTTTTTATCGTCCACGTCCGCGTCGTCGCTGCAGGAGGCCGTTGACTCTTCCAGGGAGAGCCGTCGCCTTGTTCGTGGCTGCAAGGTCGCCTCCGCCCTGAACAGGCCGGAAACGTAGTCGGTGGGTTTCTTGTGCTCTGGCGCTGGAACTGATAAGAAGCAAAAAAAAAAAGGGACATCATCAGGCGTTCTCAGTACGCGTTTCCCTCCTCGCACACTTCGTTTCACGCTCCAGGGATCTCCACGTCCTATTATGGAAGCCATAATACGACAAGGGATTGCATCGAATATCGCGACGATGGCATATAATTGAATAAAGTAGTGTCGTGTCGTTGATTAAATTAGCGCTTATTAAAACAGAGGGTTATTGCCCTCGAATGCTCTACTGTGTCCCAGATGATAATTGCGCGCGCGCACTCGCGAGTGTATATACATATATTATCCGCATGTTCAAGCAAGGTATGTAACACGTGTATGCGTAAAATAAGCGTACGACAGAATAAGTGTAACAATCATATATATGTCAGCTTGAGTTCTGCGTTAGCGAACGTCATTTAAAAATTGAATAACATATCTAATTGAATCAATTCCATTGGCGTGTATTAATGGTGACGTAGAGCAAATAATAAACTCAGCAGATGAACGATGCTCTTCAAAAACCATTACTCATGCAATTGAAATAGAACGATAAAGATAACGATAAAAAATATACTCACCGAGTATGGGCACTAGTTTATCGTTGGGGCTGAGTTGACTGGCTAGATCTTTGCTGAGTTCTTCGCACTCGATTTCCTCTGGTAATTTCTTCCTAGATTCCGGAAGCGGCCGCTGAATTTTGTTGACACAATCTTGCTCCATGTCCTCCAAGATATCAGTTTGCGAAGCGGCGTCACTGGTGGTCGCGTTTACCCGAAGCACGACCTCGGTACGTTGCACTAATGTCAGCCCTTCTATACCCGGTTGGGGCGACACACAAAGTGACGATCTCGGTGACGATTTGTCCTCCTCCACTGGCGAATTCCTTGGTGAGGAGGAAGAGGATGCTTTGGAAACGCTTGAGATCGAAGACGTGGACGATCTGCCGCCAGTCCTAAATTTCGAAGACGCGGAAAGTCTCTCAATCCGCGATTCCGTATCGCTTGTTTGACTCAGCCGACTCGGCGAATTGGATCTGTTCCAAGAACCTGTATTATCCGTTTGAGTCGGGCTAGAGACTTTTCTGTTAGAGGTATATTCTATCCGAGCTTCGTTCCGCGTGAGAGAATCGAGAGAACTTTTAGGAGACGATCTGGACAGCAAAGCTCGAGGCGATACGCGAGCATCTATCGATCTTCCTGAGGAAGAAGTGCTCGAGCAACTTCCTGATCGTCTCGGAACAGCTCCTCGTGGACTGCTAGTCTCATTTGGTGATCTCGGTGGTGAACTTGTCGGTGGTGGTGGTCTGTCGGAAAAGAGTGTAGTTTCTATCGAGTTCTGTGTTTCATATTTTCTAGCCCAACCATTATCGTAATTCGTGGCGACTGACGATGTTGTAGTGCTGATAGAGTACGTAGATATCGTGTTATTTGATGTTGATACAGCACTCATCCTCTTTTCATTACGGCGATTTAATAATTCAATATTCTGCGAGGTCATCTCGATCGTAGCACTTCTATCGCGGAAGAAATCGTCGCCGGTAATTGGAAGCGGACCACTGATTTCTCGTAGCTGTTTCTGGAAGTAAACGTCCTGATAAATTATTTCGCGGAAAGTTTAGAATAACGTAACAATGAATAAAATAAAAATGAGTAAGCTATTTTTAAAAAGTTAATTTAAAACGCATAGTCCTTTGAAGCACGTAAACTGAAGCGAATGTTAAATTATTAGAATAATGATGATATGAAATAAATGCCAAAGTAAAGTGACAAGCACATTATGTGAGCTTGGCAAGAAATTGAATGCTAGAGAAACGTAAACTGAATTTGCGCGTCCTTGACACTACTATATTTACAGGTGTAAAAATAGGTAGACCGTTGAGACGCGAAAAACACGTAAATATCGTTATTACGTGAAGGTAAATATCCGGAGATAATCTTACCTCTCTATTTTGAGGTAGGGGCTCGCAGCTCGCTGCCAACTTCCGACGTTCCCGCTCTAACTGCCTGTTCCTATCATTAAGAACTTCCACGCTTTGCGGCGATAGTCTTTCTCTACGTTGCTCATAGTCATGTCTTTTTTCTGGATGCCTTTTTTCTTGATAATGATGATGGTGATGCTGATGCCGATCCTCGAGGTTGTCGTTGTTGTTATTTTCATTAGTGCGAGACCGTACATCGTTAGCTTGGAGTTTTTTGTTGAGATCGTGAGAGAGTTTACTGACCACCTCTGCCGAATGTTGCTGTTGAGAACATCTCTCCTCTAATCGATGATGAAGAGCGTCCACGCTGTATGACTTGGAGAGATCAGAAGGTTGCTGTTGATGATGATTATTGTGATGGTGATGATGCTGTTGTAATGGATGATGCGGTGTGACACGTAAAAGTACGGGATCGTCATGATCCCTAGGAGGCGGCCAATCGTCCATGCGTGAGGTTGGCGACATAGTTCTTTTGTAGCTGCCCTCGCTATCGGGAGCACCACGCTCTCGTCTGTAAGCCAAGTAGGAAGCCTTAGACTGGCTTCTGAAACAACAATAAATATTTTCACATAATAAATGCATGCACAATTTAATTAATGATAATGTTGATAATACGTAATTTTAAAAAATAGAAATATCTTATCTTTTTTGATAAGATATAAAGAAGATATGATTACGATTATTTTGAATATGTTAATACACAAAGTTATATAATTTTAGTAAATTAATTGTTAGCATAGACATAATAGGTAATAGAGTAGATACATTTGCTGATGTTAACATCTGTGCTCCGTTAAAAAGAATTGAGTATCTTTTTCTTTAATTCTATCAGTATCTCTTCATCTTAATATTTAAGAAAGAGAGAGAAAGATATGATTGAATCTATCTCAATCTTTCTAAACCAATAGTCACAATTTCATAGGAATGCAACGTGATAGCATCTTAGCGTGTATATGATTGTTAGGAAGATTTATAAACAAACAAATTTATAGTTGCCGTTTATATTGCTTGTTTTTTTATCATAATTCGAAATATATGGACGCATTTTATAATGCTATTTTTATAACTTTATAATTCTCTACACAACTGCATCAAGTAGAAATCCAAGGGAAATAGACACGCATATACATGTCACGTGGATGTTAGACAGTGTATGTCACGTATTGTACATTTTTAATACATTTACATTTACATTTAAATTTCCTCTAAAATGTTAGATGTGATAAATGGAATCGAGTAAAGCTATTCACATTATATATTTTCAGAATACCAATTCTTAGGTTTAATGAATAATTGTAGATAAAATGTTACATCGTTCGCTAACAAAATGTTAAAGAAAGATTTTTAAGCATTATATAAAATTGTCAATAGAGCCGGTAAATCCACAGCTGTCACACGTGCGCGTATATCTAATATTTCCATTGTAATATAATTACCTTATAATACAAAATATTTTGTTATATATGTCTTACGATTCAATGCATAAACGAAGATAAACGTGCGAATGTAGCTTAACAAACCAAAAAGGAATTTCTAAGAGATATCTGATATAAGATCGCTTTATTGTCCATATAGATTTATGCAATTGTAACAACACATCTTCAATGATTAATTGTGTGATAATGTTGATTAATCGTCGATCAAAGTTATAAATACGACTACATTGAGATTCATAGAAGCGAAAATAGTTTAATTGAGACCGAATGGCTACTATGGTGTTATGAATTTTAATTCCTCGGCATACCTTTATGGTTCTATTAGTTTCTCACGAGCTTCTGTATCTTTCATAAGCAACCGCAAGAATTCTTACTTATCTTGAAACGGTTGCAACATTACGTGGAAGCAACTATGCAAATTATCCTCGCGTTAATGATGCGATGATCGTAATGATGCTCTTTACATAAATTTAAATGTAGTACTATTTATATATCTGAATACACTGTGTATACATGTAATTTAACACAAAAACTTCAAAATCAACTCGGTCATGCCTTAATATGATTTTCTTCAAGACGCGACAATGTAACTATAAAATATGAAATTATACAAAGAGTGTCTTTCCCGCTTTCTTTCTCTTTCTTCCTCTTTTTCTCGTGAATCTATTTTCTTATTCTGTCTTGTGTAAGTAGAAGTTATGAGCACGCAAGACGCGATCTACCCTGACGAGCGTTTCATTCTTGCTACGAAAGATAGAGATCACCGAAGCGAGACTAACATTCACGACACTGACATTGCTGCATAGCCTCCACATTTATCATTTTTGAGCACACGATCGAAGATCCCCTCGACTTAATCCGAAGCATGCATGGTTGTGGCACTGATTTTTTTCTTTAATCGGATCACGACATTGAAATGCCGTCTCTGTCGCGATATCGTCTTTATGTTCATTGTGCTCGATTTAAGCCCGTCCATATATGACGACATAACACATAATATCAGATCCTGCCTATGGGTTTACAAAGTTGTGTCACTAAAATGTCGAAATTATTATTCTTAACAGGCAGCTTTAGATGTTCTTGATTTGTTGTTATCTCGATCGAAAAAAAACTAAATGGTAGAATAATCTCCCATAATGATCGCGCGTGCGTGCATTAATCTTTTTTTGGTTGAAAAAGGATGATACTTTAAGATCTACGGTACGAAAAAACTTATTTCAACTCGGTCACTCAACTTCAAAAGCACCCTGCTTTCATCTAAAGATGTGATGGCTTTTGCACAAATTGCTTCGGCTTATATTACTTAAATTTTATTCTTTCTTGTCTTGCATGTTTAAAAGGCAAATGAAAGTTTTTACCGCAACAAAACAGTTAGGAGAGAAAGGCCAAAAGTAAAATTCGTGTCCGAATTCTAATCACGCGGAGAGTCTACCGCAAAATCGTATTTTAGCACGTTATTCTCGGCGCAATAAAGAAATCGTTTCACGAATGCGATAAAACCAATATGATAATCTGACACGTGACATTGCAATTTCAATATTCATGAAATGACATATAGCATTCCCGCAAGAAAAATGGTATAAGTTGAATTTCGTATTATGTGCGAATTATGTTTTAAATATATCGGCCTTCAATCAGGAAAAGTAACATACACAAATTCAATATTTTTCAAAGAAAAATGATACATAAATTTAAAAAAAATGATATAAATTAAAATAGGAGTGATTTATAGGAGTATTACATCAACAAAATTAACTTTTACATTACTTATAGAGAACTTGATAAGCAGCAACTTGTAATTAGTTCTTAATCGACATTACATTTAATATTGCCATGATAAATAATTAATTTAAAAATACGTAATTTTCTTTCCTCTTTCTTCAACAATAAAAAATTTTTTTCTTATGTCATTTTTTGCAGCGGTGTAATATGTATAATCTATTATGATTTAAATAATCGCAATTCGCAAAGTGTAACAAGAGACATTTTTACAATGCCGAAATATGATATAACTCAAGCAAAATAAACTTTTATCAGCATTAACTGCACAATGCAATTTTTATGATATGCTGTTTATAAAAATGTACATAACATATACATATTTTGTAATTTGATATACTTGCACAATATGAGTGACATAAGATAACCATTTAGATAAAATCGTTATTATTTTTCTTTTATGATTGCTTGATCATATTTACGATGATATGTCTAAATATATACAAATATTAATGCGCGGTTTTTTTTTCGAGCGATACTTTTACGAAATCAATCGAAAAAAATGTATCTCACAAGTGCTTGCCTCGCCGGATTGTATATACCCTACAATTTTAAGCTGTCGGTTGTAATGAGGCTCATTCGTAAAATAAGTAACGATCCTGTCCGACGAAGAGCAATGAGTAGCACACGCGAACACGGGGCCTTAAAAGTTACATCGAATAACGTTCATATGTAATCGTGTACATGCCCCGAACGCCTTTCGCGATATACGTATTTCTTTCTTTTTCATGGCCGATTGAACATGAAGAGAGATAGTCATCAGTTAAGATAAAATGCGCGTACAAACAACGGAAGAAGAAAATAAACGTGTGTCGTGCGAATATTATACTTCGCGACTCTCCCGACAACAAAAATATATTCCTCCGGCACTCCCTTGAGAATAAAAATCATCGTGTTCTTTACATTTTTATTATCTCTAACCGCTGTATCTGTGATGTTAACACACGACTAAATAAATACAGCGAGCGATCACATCAACAGTAAATTTTGCGCTAGCACATTCAATGGGAATATGAATAAATATTACACTAAAAAAAAATGTTAAATTATAATGAATATTTATTCGTATAATTTTGAGTGCATATTTACTAAATGTACGTGTATTATATTTATTTTATACAAAAACTATTAATTTGCTTTTATTTTCAAAAAAGCTTATTAAATTTTAATAAATATTTTTTAATAGTATTATAAATAAATTAATTACAGTAAATAAATATTATATTTACTTAATACTAATATTTAAAAAAATGTATTAATATTTAATAATTCTTTTTATACGAATGATAAAAGTATACGGCTAACGATGGCATAGCCATAGGATAAGACGTGAGTAATTTATTATGCTGAGATGAGAGAATACCGGCTGACCGGTAGCTAGTTTATGTACTAGTATATCACGATAATTGATGGCGGTGTTATATTCGCCCTAGCACTCTGCGCCGTTTCGTATCACGCCCTAACGACTTTGTATGCCAGATAAATGGCTAAGTGTTTATCAATACAGTCACCCGGCGTTCTGAGAGGACTCGATAAGGAACTCCCAGTACGCTTTTGCAATGAACGTTTTTAAAAATAATTTCGCATCTTCAAGTGCTATCGTTTAAAAGTAATGATATATTCGCCAAGATATACTGCGAAGCGCGATAAGAAGATTTTTCTTTCAATCGTTTGCTATGATTCACAAATAATAGTCTGACTATTTACGTACGTGTACATTTCATGGACGTCGCGGTTGAACAACATTCCGTAACATCGTTCTTCGTTTAGTAATCTCTATAGAAATTTTATATCGAACATATATTTGTACTCCTCTTTACGAAAATCAATTATACCGCGTGTTGATATACTCACAGAAATATGCGTCAATATTTTATAACGTTCGATAGGAGTGTTTTCCGTCTGCGATATTGATATGATTCACTCAAGTGTTCGGTATACGTACAGCTATTACATTTATAAATACGTGCAACGACGTGCATACCGCCATCATAAATAAAATGCTGGTACACTTTATTCGGTATCTTAATTATGCGAATGAATCATGAACCGTTTTAATTAAGATCAAGATATGGTTTTCTTTTTCAGCATAAACCTTCATAATGTTTGTTAAATTTTTAGATATTCACACGACATTCACATATCACGTTACAAATAGAACATCATATTCTTCCTTTAGATGCTGTCCACTTGATACTACAAATGCTCCGAAGCATTTGACTGACCAATCAGAAGACAGAATTTTACTAATTGATCAATCAAAAAATGCTTTGAAGCATTTGTAGCGTTAAGTGGACTGTAGTCTGTCCGACAACTTAATTATACAACG